CTTTTGAGCGAGTATAAGCAGGCCAAAAAGAACCTCAACCGGGCAATCAAAGCAAGCAAAGCGAAATTTTGGCAAGAGATCTGTAACGACCTTGATGAAGACATCTGGGGTAAAGCCTACCAAATTGTCACCAAACGACTCGGAAAGGCTTCACCAGAAGCGCCGAAATCACCTGCTTTAATGAGCAGCATCGTAGCGGAGCTGTTCCCCAAACACCAACCAAAGGAAAGAAGACATTATGTGAAAAACAGTGTAACACTTTTCACAACCAAGGAGTTACAGGATGCAGCGAAGACCCTCAAGACAGGAAAGGCACCCGGCCCTGATGGCATCCCAGCATCGGTGATCAAGACTGTAGCCCTGGAGTATCCAGACATACTCCTAAACACCTACAACGCATGCTTGGCAACTGGCACGTTTCCCACGGTCTGGAAGCGGCAGAGATTGGTTCTGCTAGATAAAGGCAAAGGTGGCCCTGTGACACCCTCGTCGTTCAGACTACTTTGCATGCTGGACATTGCTGGGAAATTGCTCGAAAAGCTTATACAGGGAAGATTACGAAACGACATCGATCGTGCTGGAGGCTTTGCCGCAAACCAACATGGCTTCCGGAAAGGACGTTCAACAGTCGGTGCGATCCAGAAAGTCGTTGGGACAGCGAGAGAAGCATGGACTGGTAGCCTTAAAGCTCGTAAAGTATGCATTCTCCTCACGCTAGATGTCAAAAATGCATTTAACAGCGCGAATTGGGGAGATATCCTAGACGCTCTGGAACACAAATTTGACGCAAAGCCAGAGAATTTGGCACTAATCGACAACTACCTTGAAGAAAAAAAGCTAATAGCGGAGACTACAGAAGGACCACTAGAATACGCCATAACGGCCGGAGGGCCGCAAAGCTCAATAATGGGGCCCGATTTATGGAATGCGGACTATGACGAGCTTCTTAAGATTCCGTTACCAAAGCAAGTAGAGCTAACGAGCATGCAGACGACGACGTCGCGGCCACGATAATAGTAGACAGCGTAGATGAGGCCGAACTACTAGTTCGGGAAACCGTTGATGCCGTCGAGATTTGGCTCGATAAACACCACCTGAAACTTGCCAAGCACAAAACCGAGATGGTCGTCTTGACTCGTCAAAAATGGTTCCCAAAACCATTCGCTGTGGACATAGGAGGAACAACACTAACATCAACAAGGGCCCTGCGCTATTTGGGGGTAATAATAGACGAGAAACTATCTTTTCGCGAACACCTCGATAATGCATGCCAGAAAGCTAGCATGACGGTGTCTAGCCTAGTAAGAATTATGACCAACACCATGGGACCAAGAACAAAAAAGAGAAGAGTTCTTCTAGAAGCAGTCCACTCGGTACTGCTTTATGGAGCGGAGATATGGGCAGACATATTAAACCAGAAAACCTATCGGCAAAAGATAGCAGCAGTACAGCGGCGAGGCGCTCTCAGGGTTACCTGCGCCTACCGCACAGTTTCCGAAGCATCTGTATTGGTCATTGCAGGAGCTACGCCCATCGACCTATTAGTGTTCGAGAGAGCTAAACTTTATGACGCTAAAGATAGTGACGAAAACATGAAGGACGCAAGAACGAGGATAAAGGCGGAAACGCAGCAAGAGTGGCAGGACCGATGGACATCGGGAGAGACGGGCAGATGGACAGCGCGCTTGATCCCAAACATCAACGTCTGGCTTTCTCGAAAGCACGGAGACACGGACTTCTTTCTGACCCAGCTATTGACGGGACATGGGCAGTTCAATGCCTATCTTTTCAAGATGGGTTTGCACAGCACACCAACGTGCAAATACTGCCCAGACAAAATTGACAACGCCGAGCACACGTTTTTCGAGTGTGATCGGTGGAAGGACGACAGAATCAGCACCGAAGTAACAATAGGCACTACGCTCTCCCCTGAGAGCTTGGTAACTTGCATGATCATAAAAGAAGAAAACTGGTCAGCTGTTGCAGCCTACGCGCAGCGCCTTTTAAAAGAAAAAATCGCAGAAAGGGATTAAAAACCAGTAGAAACAAGAAGTAGGTGTCATAAGACACAACATGGACTGGATTGAAGTAATGCTAACGCAGTCTCGTTCCAGTCTTCCCTGTAACATCTATGGGGAAAGGAGAGAGGAGGATGTTTAGTCGGTATTGTTGCAAAATAATATTGACTTCTGAGTCCGACATACCCAGGCACCAACACCAAGCCCTGGCATACGTCAATGTATTTTACCTCCTCTATAAATAAAAAAAAAAAAAAAAAAAAAAAAAAAAAAAACACACACACACACAATCAGGGCATGGTTGCTTCTGGGCTTATCTACACCGTTTTCAACACGATAAGTCCCCAGAGTGCCCGTCCTGCCCAGGAGTAATTGAAAATGCTGAGCATGTTTTCTTTGAGTGTCCACGATTTATTCCACAGCGTGATCTACTCGAGAGTATCCTACACCAGAAGATTCAACCAGAGACAGTAATAGAAGCAATGTTGTCATCAAGAGCCTCCTGGAACGCCATCAACACATTTGCAACAGAAGTTCTCATAGACCTGCGTTCCATCGAAAGAAGAAGAGCAAATGACAACAACTAGAAAAAAGGTAAAATAACACCTTAGCTACCAGAAGGAAGAGCAGTAGCTATATCCTCCCCCCACGACGTAATGCCTAACGGCGGTTCCCATGAGGGATTTGATTAGAGGAAAGAGGAAAGGGGTATAGGGTTTAGTGGGTAGGGGCGCTAGTATCAAGTTTAGTATGACGCTGCGTCGAGTCGCCACATATCCAGGCCAAACAGCTATGCCTAGAATCCGTAAAAAGGATTCCCCCCCCTTAAGAAAAAAAAACACACCACACACACACACACACACACACACATATATATATATATATATATATATATATATATATATATAGACATACAGACACCATCGCAGAAATAGTCAGTGAAGCTTCCTAGAAACTCAAAACGTCAAGATCTGATGAAAACTCAATTTTCGAAAAACGGGGTAAAATCAATAACTTCCCGATTTTTGAAAATTTTCAATTATCTTAGCGGGAAGTTAAAAATTTTTTTAAATGTGGTTTTTTCGGAATAACTTGTAAACAGCTCTACCGATCAATTCCAAAATCTAATCAGCTCTTAACATCAAAAAAACACGTCGATCATCGCTGCCAGTCCGGTCAAAATCGGTTGATTTGTTCGTGAGTTATCGTTGACGAAAGAAAACTGAAATAAGTGTTATTTCGGAATTACTCCGAAATTCGTAGTTCGATCAAATTAAACTTAAAGATTCTTTATGAGACTTAAAAAATTGCGTTCAATGCCGCCAACCGCGTAAAAATCGGTAAATTTATTCAAAAGTTGTCGCGGTTTGAAAATTTTAAAAATATTGTTGTAGTGTCAAACTTTTATCAGACTTTTGAGCTCGAAGAGCTAAATAATATTTTTATGGATTCATATGGATAAAAAATAAATGACAATCAACAAAATACAGTCAACTTAAGTGTGAACATGTTTACAAACGTTCAGTAATAATACAACAACGCTATCTTAACGTTTTCGGCGATACTTACGGTAGATACGAGGTTTTTGAATTCGAACATGTAGATACGAGAAAAATCAAAAGCCTCTAAAAAAAATTCTATCATCATTATAAACATTGCATGTTCGGTTTTACGTTACACGAATGCTAAGGAGTGATTTTCGCTAAAAATCTCAATTTCGAAAAAAATGGAGTTACGAGGTTTACACAGAAAGGGGACGAATATGCTTTTGAAAATGATGAATACAGTAAATGCAAAAGACTTCTGCAAGACCTGTCTCAATAACACAGATGTATAGCTAGCAAAAAAATTATTTTTCAAAGAGCTTAATTATGAAGGTATGAAATTTCAAGTGTAAATATATTCTCAATGATACCTCAGCGTATCTGTATAACTCTTAAAAAATTAAACGAAACAATTCTTACTTTAATTTTCAAAAATAACGAGATAAATTCTACAAAGAAATTCTGAATTCGACTGTATTATCTTATGATTTAAGAAATAATTAAACTATTATGTATGCTTAATCGTATATTAAAACAATTTTATTTATACAAGAATAGATCTGACAATATATAACGATAATGGTAGATATATCTATATTGAGTAAGGGGTATGTAAAAGATATAATCACTCGACTATTCAATGTGATGAATCACACAGGTCTTCTTTTTCAGTAAACCTTTAGTCCCTTTGACTTGTGGCAGTACAGTCAACGTTCTCTGTATTTGACTCGCCCGTACAGGACAAATGAGCGGTCAAATACAGAGAGGTCCAATACAGAGAGCGTCGCCTCTAAGTCTTCTATCACACAATAGGGGTGCAAATTACTTTACAGCCACACTATCTAATAGTCTGAGGTAAGATGGCTACTTTTTATAAGGACTTATGAGCTACATCAAATCAATCATTGAAATGCTTTTTTTTTGTTTTTTTTTTTTCCCCCATTGAAAACAAAAATTCAAATGTCTACATCAAAAAATATAAATTATTTCTTAAAATACAACAATGAATCTTTAAACTAATTAAAATCGTCGGATATTTACAGTATGAATTATTTTAATGGGCAAATAAAATATCCCAGATAGTTTCTATAAAAATTTTTATTCAAGTAATTTTATTAACCTCATTGAATCTATTGAATTTTGTTCACGTGTTAAGTCTACTTAGACTCTATTAAGCTGTTTGAACAAATTGCAAGTATAAGATTCTTTATTTTACTCAATTTTTCATAAAATTTGTCTAAATATAATTACACTTTAATATATCTACGTAGTATTTTCAAACGATATGTTTATAAAACTTATAAAATGATGTCGCTTATTTTTGTAACAAATCAATTTTCTATTCTTCAAATAATACGTTTCAAAAAATAAAACATACTTAAAGTAAATGGAATTATAAAAAAAAAAATATTATACTTATTTGATAAAAATGGCAATGTCAAGATTCATGTTTGAGTATAACTTTTAAATCATCTGGCAGTGTTCGAGTAATATCATTCAAACGTTCGCTAAGTCTTACTCGCACTGCTTGAGTAGTCGGTATATCTTCACTATGACTTATTTCTAATTTTTGCCGAATTTTTAAAATCATGTCAATGATTTCTACTTCTTGTTTATCTTGGACCCATGTTTTTAGATCCTAAAAATTTTCATTAGATCTGAATTAATGAATTGAAAATAATAAAATAAATAAACGTTATTTAAGTTTAGTTTTACCGCATGAGATAAAGCTTCAAGCTGTAATGCTTGTAATTTATGAGTAAGTTCTGAGTATCGTAAATTAAACCATCCTGAAAAATTTGGTGTTCGGAAAAATCTTTTGTACAATCCAGCCCAATCTCCTTTTATGCCTATGGTTAATTGAGGCCCAGCAGTACTAACTGTAGCCAAAAAATCCTCTGGATTGAATAATTGAGGTATGGGAGTAGCCTAGTTAATAATTACAAATAAGTAATAAGTGTATTTACTAAGTATATTCTAAATTTTTCTGTTTTTAAATAGTTTATGTACTTAAAACCATTTATATAAGTTCAAAGTAAACTACATAAACAATTTCAGTGAAATTAGTTTTGTTTAGAAAACTTAATTTATCGAGCATAGTACTTTCGCATGAGTAGGACATAGCTTGGGAAATTAATTTTGAAATGAGATTAAATAAGTATATAAATGGTGTTTCTTTGAAAGTAAATAAGAATATTCACTTATAATATGCGAACGTACAGTAGACGAGACAAAAAAAAATCTGATTAAAGGGAATGCTTGAGATTATTATGAATAATAAAGAGTGTTTTGCGCAGAATTATTAAATTTCTGAGTATATAATACTCAAAAATATATTATAAATTGTGTTTCAAAGACGTTTATGCGTTACGCTAAAGTAAAGTTGAGTTCTAATTTTTTACGAAATTTCTTAGTAAGTTGAGAAAAATTTTTAAATATATGAATAATTTATAGCTATTTTTTATTTACCCTAAAATATTTTTTAGGCATTTATTGTATATCAGTAAATATATATATTAGTCGTTAATTTGACGTCCATTTTTATTGTTCATTTCAAATTTGGCAATATCGTCATTTTTAACCATTTAATTAGTCGCATGTTAACGTCAACTTTTTGACAGATTCAACAGTTAACTTATATTATGTTTTGACGCTCAGTGTGTTTATACATATTTATGTTGTGAGCGCCGTTGCTTATTTTCATTCCAGTAAATAAACCAAAATAGTTTGAATTACCCTGGCGGATTCGTAGTCACGGTAAAATGATCGTGAAACGACGGCGAAAGCAACGTCAATTCACAGTGTAGACAAATTATCGTCGAATAACCGTCACTTGACTGTCGAACGACCGTCGTTTGACAGTGAACGATGAGTATAGCTGTGAACGATTTTCACTGTTACTTTATGATTTTTATTCTGTATAGTTATCATACTTCACTCGTCGAAAAACCAAATTTTTACTTGACTTCTCCGATTTTTTACCTAAGTAAAAATCGTAGATCATCGATCGATCGTCTGTCATTGCACGGTAGTTTGTAGGTGAAATGACCGTGAAACGAGCGTATAATGTCGGTAAGTCAGGAATGTTTTACTAGTCAACGATGAAAAAAAGCTGACAATATTATATTTTTTTTTATTTCATTAAAAATACTCAAAGTGTATAAAAAGATAGGTAAATGAGAAATTTTCAATAAATAATTGGGATGAAAAATTTGAAAAAAATATTAAATTATTGTAACTTCGTTTATTTCAAAGTAAAATCATAGAAAATTAATCAGACTATAGGCAATCAACAGAGATCCATCATTTCAATACTTTTCAGAAGAGTTTATGGCTTACAAGTGTTGAATTTTTTTCATAGTTTTAAATGAGAAACTATAATACTTTTTGATTGTGAAAAATGTGATAATCAATATTTTTTTTTTTTTTAATATTTTTTTTTTTTTTTTTAGATATTTTATTCAACAAATTATAATTTAATTATAATTTAATTTCAACTTTACTATAAACATATTTTCTGCACGTCAAATATTTTTACCGTAATTCCAAAATTTGAATTCTTTATTAAAGATTTGAGTTTTTTTTTTTTTTTTTTTAGACGAAAACTTTAATTTCGAAATTACGGAAAAATTATTTGTTATCAAGAGAAATTATTATGAGATACTTTTTTTTAGCAATTAAATTTTTAGCAATTTCTATTCCAGATCTTTTTTTTTATACAGTTAATAATTTTACCGTGATTTCGAAATCAAGAATTTCGTAATCATCAAAAATTTGAATCATTTATTACGATTATTATTTTGAAGTCCTGGAAAAAATATAACTTTATTTAAGCTATTTTTATCTGTACGATAAAAAAAATGACTTGGTTTTGACACCTTATCATGTCACTGAATCGATCTTACGTGCAACGTCGCAGATAGCCTAACTTGTAAAGATTCGGGCGCGCGACCAGATGAACTGGGTTCGGGTCCCGGTCTAGACTGTTCGAAGTATTTTTTTTTTATTTTCTTGTCCGTGACAGTAGCGTAAAATCACCGTATTTCGACAGAATATTGAGCGTACGGTGTCGGTCATAACATCGTAGATTCACTTGCGTTTGCACCGTATATATTCTGTTAATTCACAGTGAATATCGTTCACAACTGTATCCGATGCAGACTGACAACTCGCTCGGTAACAACGGACTTTGTACGGTGAAACAACTGTGAAACGACCGTGAAACAACCGTCAATCGATTGTGCTTTCACCGTGTTGCCGAAACCGCCAGGGTATGTATAATAAAAAAATTAATTATTAATTTAAACGATCATCAACAATAATTTTTTAATGCAATTGTATAAGTTACGTGAATTACAGAATATTTTGAAACATTATTTATTATAGTATTTACTTGGATAGTATAAATATTATAATTTTAATTTTAAAGGAATACCGATTTGTCATAAGGATGTATGGTGAAATTTTAATTTTGAATCGTTAATAACTTCTTGAAACAATCGATAAAGGGTTTTAAATTTTCGAGAAAAAATAACTACGTCATTTAACATATCGAAACGCAAAAATAAAATTTATTATCTATAATCAAGTTTCACGCATGAACGTCCTTAAGCTCAACTAAAGTCAATCACTGACAAATGTTTAATTTTTTTTGAGTGTGTATAAATCTTTTATAACTTTTGAACGAGTTGTTTACTCGAAACTCGATTGGAGGCATTCCCGAGGATCCTTTCAAACTCTTATATTTTTTGAAAATTTGAACTGATTTGGTTAAAAAAAATGATTTTTTTTTGGAATGGATATTAAACTAGTGTACTGATTATTCCGATAATCTAATCTCGACTCAACCTAAAAAATAACATCGATCGCTGTAAATCGCATAAAAATCGGTTAATTCGCTCAGGAGAAGCACAATTTTTAATTTTGAAAAAAAATGTTGTACCAACATATATAATGCGATATTCGTTTGTTAATAAATTTTCATATCTTATTTCGAAATGAATGTCACCCAACTTACACACGAGTGTTATATCCGACTCCATTAGTATCTAAAAAAACAAGGAAAGTAATGCCTCAAAAGCTAATGTAGTAAAAAATACAAACCTTAAATGGTGATATATTTTTCTGTAATGGCATTAGACTAGCAATGTATCGTTCGAGTGGAATCATAAAACTTTCGGTTAACTCCATCAAGTGACGTTTGAGTAATGCAGCTTGAACCTCTCTTGGACGCTTAGTTTGAACACCTCGAATGAGTTTTTTTAAAAGAGTTTTATCTTTTTGCAGGAATGTCTTATATTGTGTATAGACTCCAGGTTTTGAATCAAGTATTTTTAGACTATCAACTTTTTTGATCTTGTACTTTTTACTGTCTTTAATAAAAAAATTTATCGTTATTTTAATGTTTTATATTTTGTCTTATTATTAATAGTATATTAATGAATTTATACCATTATTTGTTACATCACAAACTCTTATAATATGTGGCCATCGTTGAAGTGTTTTTGCAAAAAAAGGATTAGTAACTCCAAGAATGACAGCTGGCGGGACCGCTACATCTGAAGTATATTCTTTGAATTCAGAATCATGAATTGTAAAGTATGGACGGTAATCAGAGCAATATTTAAAAGGCACAATCATTCTGAAAGAAAAGAAAAAAAATATACTAATAGTCGCCTTAATAATTAGCCAGTTATTAAATTTAACGGGTACTCAAATAGAATGAATTAACTTACGCTACAAGAGCTTGCACCATGTTAGCGCAAGTTTTAGGCGATCCTGCCATAACTAGAATTGGTTCATTGAGTAATACAAGCTCCCATAATAAATGAACATGACTTATAATATTTAATAAACTCTGAAACATATCGTCTTCAAGTGCTGATGCCATAATAAGTTTACGTACAGGCTGTACACTCGATGGATCAGACGCATTATCAATCCCAGTAATTGATGCTACGTTAGCTTTATAATTTTCATTTGGAATATATGTCTGTAGAAAATAAAATGTGTTATAAAAAAAAAATATAAATTGAATTGAAACAATGGAAAAAAATCGTCAAAGGCACGGGTAGCAAACACACGAATTGGAATATTCTACGTTCTAAATCATCATTCACTGCAATAAATGTAAACATTCGTTTCAAGATCAAATGTCTATTTATGTTGTTTTATGTAAGTACTTAACTAATTAATTTATTTTATTCATCCTAGTTTAAGTTTGTTGTTAGTTACTTTAATATTGCAACAATGTTAATTATATCTGTAACCAAAATCTTCGATTTTTACCATCACTTTCTCATAATGAACAAGTTCCATTTACTTCCTGTGAAACCGGACAAGGATTGAAACTTTTTGGGTGAATAAAGTGACAAACATTTTTTTCAAATTATCTGATTTTGCTATCATTTATTTTTAACTGTCAGCAGATTTAGTAAATAAACTACAATTCTGAAAGGAATTACAAAGTGTAATTGTAAAGTTAAATAGTATTGTAATTTATTTATTGTAAATTTGATCAGTACTCGTGTGTGCAAGTAAAAGTTTGTCGCATGATATTTTTGGAACGAGTCAAACAATTGAGATGAACGACGCGGCATTCGAATTGTCAATTAAAACTTAGATCTGACTAGATTTTTACTTCATTCGGTCGAGCCGACTCAAAGATATTAGAAAAATAAACACTAAAAGAAATTTTTTTGAGATAACTTTCAAATTATTTCACTAATTGACTGAAGATTGCATAAACACTTTATGTGCTTGAAAAAACTGCGTCAAATTTCGTCAAACCAATCAAAATCGAATGACACATTTAAAAATTATAGCCATTCAAAATTTTCAAAACTAAAACCCTTTTTTTTCAGATAACAATCAAATTCTTTGAAATCCACGATCAGATTAGTAAAAATTTTCATTTGTATCAAAATTTTTTTCAGAATTATTTCGGAAAAATGGAAGGAGGCATAAATCATCAAAACAAGTGTGTCTGAACTAAATTAAAAGCTTACCTGTAAGTTTCTGGTTTTTAATCTTTTAAGGTTCATAACTTGTGATTATTTTAACGATATTTAAAGATGTAATATGATATTTAACGATATGAGGGTCATTTTTTTCGTCTTAAAATGTAGTTTCGACATTTTTACTTTTCCACAAAAAATATATCTTATTCGACACTGTTAAAAAATTTTTTGAACCATTAGCGACGAGAGGACTCGAATCATCTTAAGTTTTTTAATCCACTTTTCCATAATTTTTTTTTAAATCCACTTTATTTTCAGAAGTTCATAAATTTTTTAATGACAAATTTGTGATCAAAGTAATACACAGTACTATTCTACAATTCTAGAAACAAAAAATATATATATATATATATATATATATATATATATATATATATAT